TAGTTAATTAACTTATTTATTTATTTATTTTAAATTTGCAACTTAGAAAAATAGAGAAAAAAAATTAGATCCTAGCATTATTTGCTTTGTAATTTTCATTTATTGATTCGATTATAATCTTTTTTTTTGTTGATTAATATCAAATTTCATTAAATTACAATATTTTTAGTTAAAGGAGGGTTGATTTTTGAAATTCAAATTGATAATTTTTTAATATAATTTATTTTTTTTGTTATATTTTGAGTTCCAAAAAGAGTTCTATTCGAATAATAATTTTTATTTTTTTCTTTTTCGTTACTGAATTAATTTGTAACTACTATCATTTTAATTTAGTAAGAGATTTATATTTCCCTTACAATAAATAGATGACCTCTTGATTATTAAACATTTTTAATTTTCTTAATATTTTTTCTATTATATTCTAAATCTGTTTGACTTGAAAGAAAATAATGTTTATAAAACTGAAAAGAATAATAATTTTCTATTTTTACTCTTTTTCGTTATGGAATTTAATTTTGTAACCTACCATTATCTTTTAATTAGTAAGATGATATTTATTATTTCACCCTTACAATAAGCATTATGAACCTCTTGTATTATTAAACATTTTAAATTTTCCGTTTCATATCATTTTTCTATTATATTCCTACATCTGGTTATTTGACTTGAAGAAAATCTATGTTTTAAAACTGAATAAACTAAGAACTATATATATTTTGCTAGATCACTGTTTTGGTGATTTAAAGAATTTATTGATGTCTGTTGCATAGTAATTCACTTTCTTATATGCACCATGGGTAAGTATATACTGCTTATATATTCCTTTCTCTAATGCACTGGGTAAGTAATACTGTTATTATAGCCAAAATAATTATCATTATCAATTCAGATCATCTGCTCATTTTTTTTCTTTACCCAACAGTTATAAATAATTCATTATTATTTTTCATTATAGTTGTATATAAATATTGATTTGGGGTTGAGAGCAAGAGGTTGAAAATTGAGTGATAACTTGATTTTCTTTTCTTTTTGAGCACTTATTAAGATTTTAAGGATCTGTATTTATTAATTAGGGATTAAAGAATTATGTTTATAAATTAGGTTGAATTTTATTTTGAGACCACTTCATTGCATACAAATAAAATTAAATATAAAAAAATAGCAATTTGTACATAAAATTTTAATACAAATTAACCGCTTCTATTTATGTTAATCTAAACAAAACTTATGAACAGTATTTAGACCATTAAGTTTGTCATCCAAATAACATATATAGGGCCTCAACCCCTCCACAGTAGGTCCCAATCTTAGATAATAATTTCCATATGGATAAATCAGCTTGCTATCATATCATATAAAATAAAAATCATATCTCATTATTATTTTATAATGACACTGTATGGATATAATTCATTAGGAATGATTTATTTTTGGCTCAATATATAATTTAACCTTTGAATTTTAACCAAAAAAAAAAAAAAAAATTTATAGCACCCTCAATTTCTCTTTTTATAAAATCTCACGCATCGTCACGCTAAAAATAATAATGATTTGATATGTGGTGAAACGATAATTTTTACATTTTTCAACTATTTAAAAAATATTTAATTAAAAAAATATTTAATTAATTTAATTTTATAAATTAAAGTATTCAACGTATTTAATAAAAGCAATTTTATAAATTAAAATATTTAATAAATTAAATTTAAAATTCAGAGTTCCACGAATTTTATCATAAAAAGTACGAGCTAAACTTATGCATTGAGCCGTTTATTTTTCAAAGCCAGATTTAGTCATGCTTTTGGGTTTTGAACCCATTTTATAGCTTTATGTACTACGTGATTCATTACGTGTTCCCTTCTTATAACATGTGTTGCACCAAACATATAAACATATAAATATATTATCTAAAATAATATTCTTTCATTTAATTGAATTATTCAATTATTTTCATTTCTATCACAAGTGGCGTATTAGAGTCATTACAAGGAAACTACTTTACCACATTTATAAGCTTATTTATACTAATTTTCTCGAACACCCCTACATGTTTATATTCGGTGATTTTCGATGTTTTATTCGTTGATTTTTTACACATCCAAAGTAAATTTAATTTTTATATACAATTTTTTATTATAAATTATAATATTGTGAACAATTTATATCACTAAAAATTTCAAAATATTCATAAAACAGAAAAAAGAAGATTATTAAAAACTTAAAAGCATTCTCGAAATAAAAAAAGAACAGTTTATGAAATACTAAAATAAAAAATTAATGATTAAATAAGAAAATAACATATTTATAATAATACTGATATTTTATTATAATTTGACAACCAAATTTTCACAAAAATAAAATTATTTATCAACTAATTTATTTTTTATAATAATTTAATTTTAATTGAAATATGAGAAATTAATATTAGCTATTATAATAACTAATATATTAGTGATTATTTTAGAGCACCATTTATAATTTTAATTTTTTTCTTTTCTCTTTTATTTTTTGCTAAAGTGTATGAACACATTAATTTTATATTTTTTATAAAAAGAAAATCTTTGGATGTATCCATGATTTACTAGTATAATGTGTTATATCATAATTTTACATTTTATATATATTTCTAGTGAGTTTTATTTTCTATTTTATATCAAACAATAAACCTTACAATATATTCCTTAATAAATACTAATATAATTTGTTATATAATGTATTTATATTATATATATTAATATAACCAATCAAAATTAAATTACTTTTATTTTTTCTACCAATAAAATTAAAATCCTTCAAGATATTATATTTTTACTATATTTAAATATATCTTATTTAGTATCCATTAAATAGTACTACTATATTATATTGTATTACCATACAAAGTGTATTAATATTACCATAATATGTATATATCACCATAACATGTATATATTACTATATTTACCGCCATTATATTACCATATAATATGTATATATTACTATATTTAATATATATATTGTATACCTTATTTAATATTGTATTATATGGTTTTAATTTCAAAATTATCAATTCCAGTTATAAGAAAGGTGGAATCGAATAGTATTACTATATTTTATATATACCTTATATAATATATTTTTTTACTGATTATATAGTATATAATATAAAATTTATTATTTTATCCAATATAATTTAGAATTTAATAGAAAATTAATATGACCAATCAAAATTAAATTATTTTTATTTTTTCAATCAATCAAATTAAAATCTTTAATGATATTTTTGTTAATCTATAAAATTAGTAGGGACGTTTTGGTAATCTCAATGCTCCCATCCATTCTCACTTTTATATATACTAATTTTTTTATGATGTGTGTTGCACATTAACTATATTCGTTACTCATTTCATTCAATTTTTTATGTCATTGCTCACTTTTACTTGTTATTTATGCTGATTTTTATTTTTAATACTAAATATTGGTTGTAATTTTTCTTATATTATTTAAATTTTATAATATTAAAATTAAATTTCATATAAGATTAATGTAAATATGACAGTTAATTAATAAAAAGACAATGTTTATATGCAAATATTTCAATTTAATTTATATCGTCATTTATCTAAAATTCTACAATATCACATAATAACTGTATATGTGCAATTCTATAATATCACCTAATAAATACGTTTCGATATATATAAATATATAAATATAATAATAATATAATATTATATATAATATTTTTTTTTTAAATTAAATTTTAACTGTTCGTCGTCCCATGTTCATTTTAAATTTAAAAATAAATTAATAAAAAAGTAAAAATTTTACAAAAATTTTATTATGCCTTTAATTAATGTATAATTCTATTTGAAATTTATTTTTTTAAAAAATATATTCTAATCAAAATTAATACAAACATAAGAAAAAGAAATTATATATATATATATATATATATATATATATATATATATATATACTTTTTTTTTTTTTTTTTTTCAAAACCAGTTTTTAGTCATGGGTTTTGGGTTTTTCAAAACCAGTTTTAGTCATGGTTTTGGGTTTGAAACCCATTTTTCTGCTTTATTTACTATGTGATTGTTGCATTTTCATTGCGTTTTCCCTTCTTATAACATGTGCTGCACCAAACACCACCTTCTTATACATATATATATATATATAGTCTAAAATAATATTCTTTTAGTTAATTGAATTATTCAATTATTTTCATTTCTATCACAAGTGGGGTGTTAGAGTCATTTCAAGGAAACTACTTTACAACATTTCTACGCTTATTTATACTTATATACTGCATGTGATAGACAACAATCACAGTGATTGAAATTTATAGAGGTATAGACAAAACGTTTTTAAAAAAGCAATCCAGTATAAAAGATTCAGAAAAATAATTTTATAAAAAATCAAATAAAGAATCAATTACCATTGAAAAGATTTATATATTTTGTTAAATTTATTTTCTAAGTTCTTTTCATTTGTTAAAAGATCATAAACTCTATATGCTATTACAATATGTTATATGTTTGATCTTTGTAAGTAATTATCTGTAATACTTTATATTATTAATGAATTATATTTCTTAAAAAAACGTTTCATTATTTTTCTATGAAACAAAAACATGAACAGAAAAAAGTAACATATATTTAGATGATATGAGGAGGAAACTTGGTCTCAATTTAAGTAAACTAGTTCGAGAATACCTCTTATTATAAATGAAAACAAAAAAAAAAAAAAACAAAATAGCACAAAGCTCACACATTAATTTGCACCTCTCCGGCTAAAGTACGACCAAAGGAAAAAATTTGTCTATACCCAATCCTTGTTCCCGCCTATAGATCAAACCAATGAAATTAAGAATTTTCTAAAAAGTGTTTCGATTTTATCATTTTTTTTCAGTGTATGGTCAAAAACACTCTCGTTTCAATAAAAATACTGAATTTTATTAGTTTGATCCATGGACCGATCTAGATAAGTTTTTTCCACGACCTAATATCTGCCACCTATTAGTCCCCCATTATCAAAGGAGCTGGGGCTGGGGCGATCCTTGGATAATATGGAGGAATGCTTTGCTCATTCTTAAAGAAATTACCAGGATCCACTTTTTTCTTGACATTAACCAACCTCCAAAAATTATCCTTAAAATATTTTCTACCATAAACTTCTGCTTCCTCAAAATAGGTTTGATTGCTAGGGTTACTACCAATATCAAGATCCCTATAGTTAAGAAAAGCCTCTCTTGGATTCTTGCTCACGTATGGAGCCATTGCATCGTAAACTTTTCTTGACAAATTTATGTAATTCTTAGAAGCCTCATTCCTTTCTTCGGTCCATGCAGTATAATACTGAATTTTAAACAAATATCCATTTCTATGAGGAAATGGAGTTTCAGTATCCGATATCTCACTCATTCTTCCTCCGTAAGGATTCCATTGCACGTACATGTTCTCTACCTGCGCTAATATTTTCCATATCTTCTCCAAATCTTGCTTCGGGATTATGCTTTTCACATAATCGGACCGGCTTTTAAAATACACTTGAGGTTGAGAAGTTCTATTGAGTAAAGCATCAATAGATGTTCCAACAGGAAATTCAGCCCAGAAAAGTGTTGATTCTATCCAACTCACTCCCTTACAATCTTTTTCCTCTAAACCCAATATTTGGAATGTTTCATTCATCAAAGAAATTAGGGGTTTGGTTTGCCCTAAGAAAAGTCCAAAGAAAGAAGCTTTAATTGTCTTATTTTGATCTGAATGTAATTTTGCTCTTATGAAAACTTCTTTATCTATTTACTAGCAATTTCTTGCCATCTATAAACAATATCAGTTGCTCCTTCTTCTAATGTTCTTTCAACCCTAAAAACTGTAACTATATTAGGGACTTGAACCAATTTGATTTTCCAAGAAAGGATAACTCCGAAACTTGCTCCTCCACCTCCTCTAATTGCCCAAAAAAGATCCTCTCCCATAGATTTTCTATTAAGAATATTACCATTAACGTCCACTAATGTAGCATCAATAATATTATCGACAGTAAGACCGTATTTTCTCATCATATTCCCATAGCCGCCTCCGGTGAAGTGACCTCCAACGCCAACTGTAGGGCAAACTCCGCCAGGAAAGGCGTGGAATTTGCTTCTATTAGCAATGTTATAATAAAGTTCTCCAAGAGTTGCTCCAGTTTGAACCCATGCAGTTTCCGTCACAATATCTATATCTATGTTCCGGAGATTGAACATATCAAGAATCACAAACGGAACGTTAGATATATAAGAAAGACCTTCGTAATCATGCCCGCCACTCCTTATTCTGATTTGCAGGTCATTTGATTTTGCACAAATAACCGTCGCTTGGACATGGGATTCGTGCTTAGCGGTAACTATAGCAACTGGTTTTGGTGTTTCAGAAGTTAGAAACCGGCGGTTTCTAATGTAGGCACGAAGAATATTGTCGAAAGAGGAGTTTCTGGGGGTGTAAAGTTAGAAACCGGCGGTTTCTAATGTAGGCACGAAGAATATTGTCGAAAGAGGAGTTTCTGGGGGTGTAAATGGCTTCAACGATTAGATTAGGGTTTTCTACATGATTGGGAAAACAGTTTAAAAAATTGTCAACAGTAGCTAGTACTGAAAATAATGGGAATGAAACAATTAAAAATGATATGAAAACCTTCATTTCTATGCGTTGAATTAATAGAGATGCGGTTGTAGACTCAAATGAAGCAGAATTCTTAGAAAAAATGCGGTTGGTTGGATGTTGAATATAAATAATAGACTTTAGCGTTGATGGAAAAAATTTAAAAGGTTAGATTCTTTGATCTCCTCTCTACTACAGTTGCTTTTTGTCAGATTAAAAGAAGTAAGAATAATTTTATAGATGGTTTGGTTAAGTAATATCTTGGCTCGATTATGAAGAATTTGTGTTCGATTTTATTTTAACTATTTATTCTCTTGTATCAAGAGAATTAATAGCTTTCCATATGAACTTTATAAGATTTTGATTCTAGGTTTTTATAACAAATATTTCCATATTAGGTTAGCTTTCCATATGAATTTTATATTATTTTGGTTCTAAGTTTTTATACCTTATATTTCCGGGTTAGCTAGGTTAGTTTTCCATAACTTTATATTATTTTGGTTCCAGGTTTTTATACCTATTATTTTCGTGTTAGGTTAGGTTGCTTGAGATGAGAATATTGATTTAGGTTTAGACGCCTGAAAATATTATATTTTTCTAAGATTTATAAAAACTAATAAAATAATCATATAGCCTATAAAAAAAATTAATAGAGACGCAAAAATAGAAATATATATATTATTCAAACAAGACTTGTGTACACTAATCAGTGTATGGTGTATGGTTCGTTTTATACCAAGCCAATTAAAAAAGATTTTTTAAAAAAAAGTATTATTGTTTTATTATTTTTAGTATATAGTTAGCAATATCTTGTTTGAACTAAAAGACCGTTTATAATTGATTTGATGTATAAATGAGCTCATACATCGGACATAGGTAAGTCTTTTTCCACACAAAATCATATATATTGATGTAGGTAAGTTTTTTTCATGAAACCTAAATAATGATAGGAAGAGAATTGAAGAGTGAAAATAATTATGCTAGATTAATTTTTTTTGAATTCAGTTGCTCCAAATGAATTTACTAGAAACGGTAAATGGAATGCTGAAACGAAAAATTGAAAATTCAATAAATGGATTCATTACCAAAAACACTGAATTGCGGTCAAATCTCATTTAAAGGCTATAAGTATATATAAATTCATTTGGAAGCAGCAAACAATTTATATGTTTAGAATAAATTATTAGTTAAATTTGGTAATAAAATTTAGTTTCTTTTATTCTAAAAAAAAAAAATTATTTTCACAAAGTATTTTGATTTATTTTTTAGTTGACCAATAAAAAATTCAATAAACTTCTTATAACATAATCATTTAGTTAAATTATAACAAAATAGAGAGACTATCTAATTACTTTCAAAATTTCATCAAAGTATAAGAATTGGATAGAAATTAATTCACTAAAAAATCAATTTGAAGTACACTTTTCTAATCAGATGACTTTAGTTAGGAAATTTTTGTTAAAAAGTTATAATAAACCATTTTATTTAATAAATTATATAATACCTATATTTTTTGCTCCATTTTCTCTGTTATTTCTTCCTTTTTCGCATTTTATTATTTTCTAATATCTTTTTTCTTTAAAAATGTCAAAATTTACTATGCCTTTTCTAGAATCGTTATCGTTATCATTATCATTATATATCATTTTATATATATATATATATATAGGACAAATATTAGATTTTTTTTCCTATGCTTGCTCTCTGTTAAAAAGTGAGATTGTACAATATTTAAATATTTGGTTTTTACTTATATAGGAAAATTTTCAGATTTTATTTTATTTTGTTTGGAGTATTGGGAGGGGATTCGAATCTGGATTTATTGTCAGGTCGTATATGCACTTACCGCTGAAATTGCCTAAAAGGTTTCTTTCCTTAATTGATTATTAGTTGCCTTCTATAATTGAGCTTTAATAGGAATTAACTATGAGTCAATAAATATTAATGATTTTTAAGAAAAATCAATGTTCAAAATTTGAATACTACCTTTTTAAATGTAGAGTGGAATTCAAAATAAAATTAAATCCTTCATTTTAGTGATATAAAATCTTATAATATAATTTTAATTGCCTTTAATAATTCTGACTTAATAATATTAATAATACTTATTGTGAAAATCGTTATCATAATATTATATCAATAATCTATAATCTATTATCTGTAATTTATACTATATATAAATTTGAAAATAGGGGGAAAATAATGAGCTGATAGTGCCTTAATGAAATTTGGAAGATTCTAAAATAACCTTAATTGTAGTTAATTAGAAAATTACATTTTATTAGTTGATCGAATATAATTAATAAAAATTATTTTTTGAATAAATACATATAGATAATTAAACATAAAAACAAAGAAATAAATATCACTTATTAAAATAAATATTGTGATTTTGATAGATATATTAAAGCACCTAAATATCTCAGTTGAATAATCGAGATTAAAACCTAGATTATTTTAGAAAAAGGTTGAAAACTTTTTGAATTAGTGAATTAGAAATAAATTAAACTTCAAAATAGATAATTAATTCAACTTTTTAGTGGCTTAAAAATTCTTACAGTTAATAAGTAAATTAAATGCAACCAAATTAAAGCCTAAGATAATTTAATTAAGTATAAATTAATTATAATTTATCCACTTGATTAATTAGATAATTAAATTTAATCAAAATTAAAAGAATTTTCAAAATTAACTTAAGGTTATGTCTAAAATAAAATCAAACGCATAAAGATATAATGAATGTCTTGCATTTTTTTATTCCATAATATGAGGACAATGTGCTTGAAAAATTATATATAATGCACTTATTTGCTATGGGTTGCTTCAAAAATAATTCATATTAAGTCCAAACCCTTATAAACTACAATTGAATAAAACTTCAATTAAAAGAAAAAAAAACTTCAAATCCTTCTTCCAATTTTTCTTCCGTGGACAAAGGAAGAGTATATAAAAAATTACTTATTAGATGTTAAATAAGTTTTAAATATTAGAATTTTCTGGCATGTAACTTCATGACAATTAAAGAGATTAACAAGACTCCTATAGAATTCTATTCAAAACAAGAATTATCTATAAGCTTAAAAGAATGAAATTTGGAATATCTGAAATAATCTTAGTCATATCCAATTAAAAAATTATATTTTATTAGTTGATTGGATAAAAACAAGAATTATCTATAAGCTTAAAAGAAATGAAATTTGAAATATCTGGAAAAGAATCTTTAGTTCACTATCCAATTAAAAAATTATATTAATTAGTGATGGATATAATTTATAAAAATATTTTTTAAATAAAATAATATAAATAATTAAAATTTCAAAATTTTAAGTTTTATCTTTTTTTAAATTATTTTTTTTTAATAAATATATTATTGATAATGAGACATTTTGGAAATTTCTATATTTTTAGTTTTTAAAATTTTATTTTAATTTTATTATAATTTAAAATATTTTTCTATTTAATAGAAGAGATTAAAAAAATATATATTCCTTTTTTTCTTTATTGTCTGTTAAATTTGATTGGATATATTTTTAAAAAATAAATTTTTAAATAGAATAAAAATAATATTTTATTTAGGGAGAAAGGTAAAAAAAAGAAAAAACGTATATTTCTTTTTTTTTTTTTTGTATTTTTTTTTTTTTTTTGTATGATTGTAGGAAATATTGAGGATTTATTTGGAGAGAATATAACGTTTTTTTGTGTAATTTTTTTTTATTAATTAACTTATAGATAATTAAGAATTTCAAATTTTAAATTTTATCTTTTCAAGATTTATATTTTAATAAATATATATGATAATGAGACATTTGAACATTTTTATATTTTCTTTTTTAAATCTTTATTTTCATTTTGATTATAATTTTAAATATTTTATTTAGGAGAGAGATCAAAAAGAAAAAATATATTTCTTTTTAACCTTCTTTATTCTTTATGTTTGTATGATTTGATTGGATATATTTTTTAAGAAATAAATTTTCAAATACAATATAATATAACATTTTATTTAGGAAAGAGATAAAAAAGAAAACATTATATTTTTTATGGTTGAAATAAAATTTGAAGTTTTATTTGGAGATGATAGAATTTTTTTTATGTAATCTTTTTCTATTAATTAATTAATTCTAAATTTATAACTAAAAACAATAGAGAAATAAAATACTTAAATAAATTCATTAATTGACCAATACCGGATCCTAGCGTGATTTGCTTTGTAATTTTCATTTATTAATTTGACTTTAGTAGTTTTTTTTTTTTTTTGTCCATCAACCTTAAATTTCATTAAATTATGACCTTTCCAATTCGAGAAGATGTTGATTTTTGAAATTCAAATTTATATTGTTGATATGATTTGTTTCTTATTATATTTAGAATTCTAAAATATATTTTATTTTTAATATTAATTTTTATTGTCTTTTTCGTTATTGAATTTAATTTTTAACTAATATCACTTTAATTTAGTAAGAGATTTAAGAGTAAGTATTTTTAATTTTTTTTTAATATTTTTTCTCTTTATTCTAAATCTGTTTAACTTGAAAGAAAATATTGTCTATGAAACTGGAAAAAAAATAAAATTATATATTTCTATTTTTGGTTACTTTTTGGAGTTTCAAGGATGTGTGTGTATGCATATATTCATTTCGTTAATGCACTAGGTAAGTAATATTGCTACTGTAGTTAAAGTGATTACTATTATAATTCAGATAATCTTTTCATTTTTTTTACCTAACAGTAAAAAATATTTTTTTTATTATTATTCATTATATTTTATGTGATGTTGATATGGTGTTGAGGGCCGGAAAAGAGATTGAGCGATGATTTGATTTTCTTTTTGGGCACCTATGTGCTGACATGTAAGAGAACCTTTGAGCGATGATTGATTTTCTTTGGGCACCCTTTTATTATTATTCATTATATTTTATGTGATGTTGATATGGTGTTGAGGGCCGGAAAAGAGATTGAGCGATGATTTGATTTTCTTTTTGGGCACCTATTAGGGTTTTAAGAATTAATATTTATAAATTAGGGACTGAAGGATTATG